ACTGTTATTTCTACACAGCCAGGCCTCATGACTCCTTTCCTTCCCCATTGTCAGCCCTGAGCCCACTGCAATATCTGGAATATGAAAATGTTACCACTAAAGATGCCTACTAAGTGTACGGCTGAATATAAACGCTGATATACCCAGGTGCCGGGAGTGAAGGTGAAGTTGAAGTTGTAGTGACCCTGAGCCGGCACCTGTGCACCATCTGGAGCGCAGATCTGCGGGTTTAGTACAGGTCCAGCCCCCAGAGGTCTCCGGGTGGAACTGCAGGGCCTGTGTGCGGACAGGGGTGTGCGCGCTGGGCCAGGAGAGCTATGGGAGGGGAACTGGGATCTGCAGAAAGCTGAAACCCCAAAAGAAAGAACCCCTTGGTAAGAGGGGAAGGATGATGGACACCACCCACCCCCCCGCCAGAGCTTTGGGTGTAGAACTAGAAGTGTGTCCCGTGAGAAATGGCAAAGCGGGGCCATTTCTGTGTGCAAGTGGCAAGTCTGTGTTGCTGCTACCCCTGGAGGAAGCCCCGTGTAGATGAGGTGGTGCCCGCAGCCCTAAAAGCAGGGCACGCGGCCCCCACGGGAGCACCCGAGCCGCCAGCCGTGGGGGCAGTAGACCCCTCCGCGGGAGGATGGGTGGCTTCAGGACTGCAGATAAGAAAGCCTGGTGGTGCGCGTGCTTTTACGGACACGTGCACGCAGTTCTCTTGCGTCCGTGGCCAGCTGGCAGCTGCCTGGTCACGAAGCCGAGGAGTGTGTGCTCAGCTCTCGTACATGCAGCCCAGCCTCTCTGAAGTGGCTAAACCACGCACCCCTCCTCCGGGAGTGTCTGGGAGCTCCCGCCGGTTCCCCTTCTGGTCCCCTTGCCCCCTCCTCCCTGCTCCTCATGCTCTGTCCCTCCTGTCAGGACAGCTGAGTGTCTCTAGGCCGCTCTGCCCACCAGCTTCCATTCTGGGGCTCAGGAGACAGAGCACTGCTGGCTGCCTAACCAGCCCGCCCCCATCACCTTCTCCCGGGATAAAAACGCTCCTGAGGTTGTTGGGAAAAAGAGCCTCTTTGCAGATCCCTGGGTGGCCTGAGCCCCTGCCTCCCGCCCCCCTGTCCCAGCGGATGGCCAGGCTGGGGAAGCCGCTCTCAGGGAAGTTCAGCTTCTCGCAGCCACAGGCACCCCAAGGCCAATGAGCTCCGGGGCCCCTTGTCCTAAGGCACCGCCTGCTGGAGATTCCCCCTGTGGGGTGCAGGAGCCCCTGGATGCCCCACCGTCTGCGGCCCAGTATTCTGAAGGCCTTGCTAAGACCATGTCACAGGGGGGATTGGGGCCCACGTCTCTGTGCCTGGAAATGTCTATTCTCTCGAGACAGAAATGGCAGCCCAGGGTCCAGTGGGAGAGGCCCCGAGTTCCTCCAGCAGGGGCGGCGGGGGCAGAAATGCGCTCCACGCCTGCTCGGGCTGCTCCCGGGGCCGCGAGCCCGGCAAGCCCACCTTCGGATGCAGGCTATTGCACATTTCCATTTAGGACAAGGCACCGATGCGTCCATCTTCTGATGTCGTTAACGGTTAGCTTTCGAGGTAGAACATGTCTCCCAGAGCGCCGTCGGAAGGAAACCGGAAGTGGAGGTCTCCCTGTGGCATAAAACCCGCCCACCAGCCCCAGGACCCCCGACGTGGCCGGCCGCCGCGAAGTCCCCTGGAACCTCCTGCCAGTGGCTCTACAGAGGAGTGTGTGTCCCTGGCCTTGGCCACCGCGAACTGTAAAGTCTCGTTTCGGAGGCTTCATGAAAACGTGCTTGCCATTTGCTCTCTTCTCCTGCGGGCCTGTGAGGTCTTCGACGGAGCGAGCCCTCTTGTTGCGCTGTCTGGCACAGCGGGTGGGGGTGGCAGGAGAGCCCTGTGGTGCTGCGGGCACCCAGTGGGCAGAGCTCAGCGATGCTGCTAAATGTCCCGCATGGCACCGGCCCCCCCAGCAAGGATTGATCTGGATCAGGACGGCATTGGTGCTGAGGTGGACAGTCTCTGCCCTAAGCCCTCACTAAGATCACAGAAGAGAGGCCAAGCTGATGAGTCCATAACTGGGTGAAATGGAAACAAAAAATACTCAGTTAAGATAAAAGGCAGAAGTAGAAAAAGAAGGGAATAGAGAAATCATAGGACAAGTAGAAAACAACATAGCAATAATGTCAACATATCATATGTATATGTATATATATGGATATAGAGATAGAGATAGAGATAGAGATCTATATATATAAAAAGCTAGCAACCTTAATGCCATCACAACCAGAATGACCGAAGACCAGAACACCGTGGCCCCTCACCCAGGCTGCCTCGCGCTCAAGTGAAGACCGCCCCCCACCCGGGTATGGGGCCCCAATCAGGGCAGGCTAGCCGGTCCCCACCCATGCACCAGGTCTCTATTCCTATATAATAAAAGGGTAATATGCAAATTGACCCTAAAGGTGCAACGACCAGAACAACTGCTGGACCAGTCACTATTGAGGTACCCTGACCACCTCTGGGTCCCTTTCCCCGGGCGGCAGGCTCTGATCGCCTGATGGCGAATGGGGAACGGGGGTCGGTGGTGGGGGATGTGGGCAGCACCAGGCCAAGGCCTCCACCCCGCCGATCGCCCCACACACAGTGGGCAACCTGCGGTGGGGCGGGGCCTGTGATCAGGCAGGAACAGCTGACCTCTCAGTCCCTTCCCCCGGCCGTCAGGCACTGATCACCCAATGGCCGGTGGGTGGCTGCAGGGGGTGGGGCCAGCTGTGGGAAGCTGTGGCCAGGCCCAAGGACTGTACCTGCACACAAATTTTGTGCACTGGGCCTCTAGTATAGAGATACAAAGATAAAGATATAGAGATAGAGATGGGGGGGGTGGGGAGAGAGAGAGAGAGAGTTATAGTTAGATTAATGGAAATGGTCCAAGTTCCCCAATAGCAGTGAGAGCCACCATTTATTGATTCCAACTCAGTATGCTGCATGTTAAACAATTTCAACTCATAAATTTGCACAACCGCCCGCTAGGTGGGTTTCACTTCCCACGCCTTTCCCACGAGCACACGGTGTTTGCCCAAACCCACGGCGGCTGACCTCCTATAGGTGTTTCTCCTCCCGGGACAGCGCTGTGGTCGGGGAGCCACACGCCCAGCACCGTCCATGGGAACCTGAGCATGAGCGCTGACCAGGGGACAGAGCTGCTGCTGACCTTGTGCCCGGGACCCGCTCTGCGACATCGGATAAGCCCGCCACGCCTCGTCCTCCATCCCGTCCGCGTCCCTGGGTTCTCACAAGAATGAAATGTGTGGGCAAGTGCCGGGGGGCAGAACCACCCCGACGTGCTGGCCTGAAGCGATGGGACGCTGGCCTGGGGTGGTGGGACGTTGGCCTGGGGTGGTGGGATGCTGGCCAGGACAACCCTGGGGGTCCGTGGGCACAGCCCGTTCTCTCCCGCTGTCAGGTGGGCGGCAGGAGCCTGTCACGTCCCTGAGCCAGGATTCTGTCCCTTTGTTCAGCTACACAACCTGCCTCCTCTCCAAGCCCTGAAGGAAGACGGAGGCAAACCCCCAGCTCCTGGGGGAGGGAGGCCCAGAGCTGAAGGCGCCCTCACACCCCTCTGCCTGCCCTCTGCGGGGGGCCCAGCCCCTGCGGACCCTGGGAGTGAGCTGGGCCTGGCATGGCGGCAACAGGCAGGCACTTTGAGGGGTGGGCAGAGCATGGGGCTGAGTGTGGCGGGCCCTCCTGGTCCCGGGCCCTCCTCAGTGGTGCACACAGTACAGCTGGACGGTGCCGCTGACCCGCAGCTCCCGCAGCCGCTCCAGGACCTGCCGGCCCAGGCTGGTGGCGCCCAGGCCCTGCCCGTTGAGCGCCAGCTTCAGCCCTCCCTCCTGGCACAGCAGCAGCACCTGGCAAAGGAGGGCATGAGACCCGCGGGCTTCCTGACGGGCCCTCCGCTGCCTGCCTGGGGCCTGCCCAGCGAGCCCTCCTCCCCTCCACAGGCCCATGGGGCACCCAGTGCTGCCCCCGGACAGAACGAGGGCCCTGCTGATCACCAGTCCTCCCACCGGGATCTCAGCTCGGGGCCTCACTTCCAGCAGCTGTACCAGGAGCTGCTGCCCTCAATGCTGGTGCCAGGCCCGCCCCGGCCCATGGGGCCCCTGGCCACAGTGCGGGGTGGAGAGCCCTGGCATGGGGGCCCCCCCGGGATGCACCCCTGCTCAGTGTCCCGGGTGGGCGTGCTTGGCTCTGACCCACCTCGAAGAACCGCTGGGGGTAGAAGAGAAAGGGGGCCAAGATCAGCTGCTTCCGCCCCCAGGGCGACACCCACGCCAGCGTCCTGTCTGCGAAGGAGGCCCTGAGAGCCACGGGGACACGCGCGGCCTCGTCCATCAGGCTCAGCGTGAAGCTGTGGGCAGGAGCGGAGAAGGGGCTCAGCCTCCGGAGCCCCCGGCCCTGGCGCCCCGAAACCTCCAGGCTGCCGGGCCCTGAGGGGAGGGGGCGGCTGGAAGATTGGGCGGGTCCCCCCCAGAAAGCAGCTCTGGGCCCCTGACAGCGCAAGTGAAGCGCCTGCGGGAACCCCACGCGGAGACTGGACCCCCTCGTGGCCACTCACAGGCGGCAGGACCACGGGGGAGCCCACGACCTCTCCCGAGCCTCAGTTTCCCCTCCTCGAAACGGGGAGAATGGCAACCTTAGCGGGGGCCAGCGCTTCCTGAGGGCATGTGCCAGGTGCTGTTTACGTGTTTTGCAAACGGCGCAGGGGTTAGAGTGAGGCTGCCCGGGTTCAACTCTGCCTCGGCCTCTCTCCGGCCCCGGGGCCCTGGGCAAGTCAGTGTCTCTGTGCCTCAGTTTCCCCATCTGTAACGTGGGAACGACAGTACTGAGCAGAATTAAATGAGTTAACACATTTAACTCAAATGCTCAGAGTCACAGCTGCTGTACAACAAGAACTCAAATTATACCTATCGTTTAAAACACACTATAAATGTTAAAATACTGTACCAGACCTCTCAGGGCACTGCGAGGAACAGAGGAGGAATGTGTGTGACACGTAGCAAGTACTTGGCACGCAGTAGGTGCTTTGTAGATGCAGCGTTGGATTTTCTGGTCCTGACCTGGGGTGTGTCAGCCCATTTTCCAGAGGCAAACGGGAGGGTAGAGGACTTCCCTGGTACTAGGAACAGCCGTGGGGCTTCCCACGGGGTGTGCACCAGGATTCAGGACTCAGGGGCGGGGGGTGTCCTTCTGCTGCCTGGCACCTGCCTGTCAGGACAGCCAGGTTCTGTCCCAAAGTCACTTTCTTTGAAACAGCAGCCCCGACACTGTTGGGAGCCCTCGGCAGGAAGTGGCTGGGAGTGGAGAGGGGCCTCGGGCTCAGAGGGCACGGAGCCCGGGAAGGGCCTGCCTGGGGGGCCTCTCAGGGAATCCCTTCTGGAACCTGTTCCCGGCGGACGTTCCATCCATGTGCAGCTTTGGGAAGAGGACGGCAAGGACTCGAAGCCGGGCAGAAGCTTGAAGGCGGGGTTCCTGGAGAGGGGGCTGCAGGGAGCCTCCACACAATGGCC